TATATATATATATGTGTGTGTGTGTGTGTGTGTGGAAAACTACTGGGGGTAATCTGTTAAACTGTACTGTAGTTCGCGTCACCGCCGGTCTACTTTGGGAGCTACAGGATTTTTGTATCCTTGCGCTTTTTGCCTCGGCACGCGCTTGCCTCCCTGCACGCGCCTTCTTTGCTCTCGGTTTAACCTCGGTGGGAACACCGCCGCTTTCGAATCTGTCACTGAGCGCGCGCGCATATCGCCTCCCCCTTCCCTCCCTCCCTCCCTCCCTCGCGCCTCTCTTCCTACCTGACTCAGAGCGGCTCGGACGCTATGCGTTTGACCGCCTGGCTGTCTGCGGAGCGAGCAGCACCAGCGGAGGGAACCGAGCCGCCGGCTGCCAGCACCCGGACCCCGGCTGCTGTCGAGCTAACCCAGGCCGGGTAGGAGCGAGGGAGACACCGCGCGCGACTAACGTCCGCGCCGCGGCGGAGGAAAAAAGAGCAGGAGGAGAAGCCTAAGGTAAATAGCAACCTCGTCCCCCCCCCCACCTTAATTTATGGACACGGTACATGCGAGCGGCGGAGGGGCTCTGTTCGTGCCGAGGAGGAGGAAGTCCGAGGCGGACAGTTGAGTAATGTTCCGCCGGCAGCACGCGCGGTGAACGCGGACAGGATGAAAGGCAGAGCCGCCGCATCCTATTTCTCCTCAGAGCCGCTAAATGATCTCCGCTCGTTCGGAGCGGTCAACTCCGGAGCCAGCTCTACATGTCTGTGAAGTTCGCTGGAATAATAACGATGTAAACACGTCATTCTATTTATTTTTTAAATTAAAGCTCCCGTTCACGGTAACAGCTGCTCGGGTGCAGAAAATGCATGCTCGTGCGTTGCTGCTCACAGAGCACGCGGACTCTTCGTATATCTCATCACCTGTTTGATGCGTGTGTCACCAAAAGGCATCAGCAGAAACACTTTCTGTGAAGTCCCTCGCAAAGTGCCCCCAAGGGCCGTTTTTAAGCCACATGCAGCTCTGAGCTGTCACTCAGGAAGAAGAGGTGAAAAACATCTGACTCAAGGAGAGGGAAACTGCTGACAGCTGAACAGTGCAGCAAATTGTAAAATGTCCTCTTGAGGAAGAAATAAAAAGGAATCTCCTGAGAGCTTCACTTTTTGAATCAATAATTTGTTCCTCCATCTTTTGCAGAGTTGGAGCAGAGAGATCCACAAGGAGGACTGTGGCATCCCGGAACCTCTTCAGCCTCCCCTTCCACCCAGTCACCATCCCCTCCTCGCCAAACCAACCAGGCTTTCAACTCCATCTTCTCCGCTCCCTGTGCAACTGCTCGTCCTCCGTCTCGACTCGCTGTTGTTCTTCATGGCGTCCAAACTGAACCCAAACGTCCTGTATGTGGGCGGCGAGTCTCTGGGGTCGCCCCCAGGCGACTCAGAGAGGACTCAGAATGTAAGTGTCTGTCTCGTCTGGGTCTCCGTGTTGCAAAATGTTTGTGAAAGTGCAACTTGGTTACACATTGTTTCTCTCCTCTGTCTGGGAACTTGCCCAGCACAGCTCAAGTTTATTTCAAGCCTATGAAAATGAGCCACATATTAATTTAGAGACAAAAAAATTGGGGGGGGGGGGTCCACCTTTTTTTGTAATTTCATTATCATTCCAACAAAAATTGACCGTGTGGTTCAGTTGCTGGTTTGTTGTTGAGATTTTAGCCATTTAATTCAAGCTGGGGCAGCTGTGGCTGAGTGGTTTGAGCAGTTGTCCTCCAATGAGTTGGGGGTTTGATTCCACCAGCAGCAGGCTGAAGTGTCCCAAGACATTGAACCCCACATTTGTCTCCGATGTGTGTCCCATCGGTGTATGATGGTGGTAAAGCACTGATTAATCCTTGTATAGATATAACGTGTTTTCCGGAGTGTAAGTCTCATCAGTGAAAAAAAACATCATGAAGAGGAAAAAAACATACAAGTCACTTCGACATATAAGTTGCATTTATTATGTGTTTATTTAATGGTCAAAACAACTTCATTTAGCTGGGCCATCCATCCATCCATCCATCCATCCATCCATCCATCCATCCATCCATCCATCCATCCATCCATCCATCCATCCATCCAGTCATTCATTCATCCATCCATCCATCCATCCATCCATCCATCCATCCATCCATCCATCCATCCATCCATCCATCCAGTCATTCATCCACCATCCATCCATCCATCCATCCATCCATCCATCCATCCATCCATCCATCCATCCATCGCAACCAGAGCTGCTAGCTCTCCAGCGTTCCTTCGCCTGCACCAGCGCGCACGGGAGAACTCGCTGTTGCAGTTCTTAGAAATTTAACAAGATTAACACTTAAAAACAATTATTTGTTTGCTCGACATTATAGCAAAGGTGTGTCTCAGTTTCACTTTTCCTTATTAAATGCACTTTAATGGTCAAAACAGCGTCATTTCGCCTGGGTGGCCTGGCACCATCCATCTATCCATCCATCGCGGCCGGACCCGCAAGCTCTCCAGTGTTCCTCCGCCTGCACCAGCTGAGTGAAGCGAGAAGGCACGGGAGGACTCGCTGTTGCAGTTCTTCGAAATTTAAAGCGTCAGTCAAAAACTGCGTTATGAATATGGAAAAAAGTATATAAGTCACTTTGGTGTACAAGTCGCAGGACTGATAAATCTACGCAAAAAACGGACTTACACGCCGGAAAATACAGTAGTAGAGTGCTGCACGAATGGGTAAATGAGGGCACAGATTGTAAAGAGCTTTGAGTATCTTGATAAGAACCATCCTTTTACCATTTACCATTTAATTAAACTCAGATCCACTTCTCTTAACGTGTCAATCAAGGCTGCACAATATATCACAAATTTATAAACATCAGTGAGCGCTATATCAATATCTCAAATAAATGGACTGCAAAAAGTCATTGGGCAATATATTTTAAGTGCTGTGCATTTATGTTCTGGATGCAAATAATTTATTTGGCCAATCCAATGAACCGTCTCTGGTCTTGATGCCCACACCTTGTTTAGATGATAGTATATGAGAAAGTGAGGGAAATGTGGGTCTATTGCTGTTGATGTCACTGTATTAGGTTGTAATTTGCACATCACAACTTTTTCCAATAACGTGCAGCCCTAGAGCCAATTCACTACAAAAGTCCTCCCTGGGAGCTATACAACGAGAAAAGAGGAAGTCCAAATAATGAATACAGTTCAGATTCAAAATCATTTCCAGTCAGTTTGCTTCATATAATAAAATATTACATTCACATACAACACATTTTGAAATGTCAATTAGTAAAAGGAAATCAATCAACCTTTATTTATACAGGTAAATCCCATTGAGCCTCGAGGACTCATTTACAAGAGAGACCTGATTTCAACAAAGAAAGATGACAACAATGGACAACAGCAACAACAATAAGCAGTTATAAAAACTCATACTACAGTTTTTTTTTTTTTTTTTTTTTTTTTTTTTAACAAATAGGATGGCTAAAAGGAAAAAGGTAACAAAACCAAAAAAAACTGCTAGATTCCGAGACAAATGTATAAAACTAAAAACAGGAACATGTCTGCATTGGTCCCTGCCAGGAGTCCAACAGATTCTTAAAGCCACTTAGAGAGGTCAAGGTCGAGAGCTTCAAATCTTTTTGTAAGATATTCCAGGAAACAGGAGCGGAGTAGGAGAAGGCCCTTTTGCCTAGTTCAGTCCTCACTGAGGGAACACTGCAGGAAATAATGTCCTGAGAGCGCACTCCGTAGCTGCACTCACGCAGAGACATGTAGGATGTTAGTGAAAATGGTAATATGACATGAAATAGTCCCGTTGGCGTCATCGTGCCGTGATCTCCAGCTCTCACTGGAGCGATTTGCAGCAAACCAGGATCAGCACCTCCAAATCTGAGGCCACAGTCCTTAATCTGAAAATGGTGGACTGCCCTCACTAGGTGGGGAGTGAGGTGCTGTCTCAAGTGGAGGACTTTATGTAGGTTTTGTTCACAAGCGAGGGAAGCATGAGATCAACAGACAGATTGATGCAGCTTTCGCAGTACTGCATATTCTGTGCTTGCTCGTTGTGGTGACGATGGAGCTGAGATAGACAAAGTTGACAGTTCACTGGTTGGTCTACTGTATGTTCTCACGCTCACCTATGGTCACGAACGCTGGGTGATGACCAAAAGATAGGCGGTCAGAAGCGGTTAAAATGAGTTTTCTCCACAGGGCAGCTGGATTCTCCCTTAGAGATAGAGTGAGAAGTTTCGTTATCCAGGAGACGCTCGAAGCAAGACTCCACAGCAAGAGGAGACAATCAAGGTGGTTTGTACATCTGGTAAGGATGCTCCTTAGACGCCTTCCTAGGGAGGTTTCCTAGGGTTGTCCAACTGTAAGAGACCCCGGGGAAGACCCAGGACACGCTGGAGAGACTATGTTTCTCAGTTGGCCTGGGAATACCTTGAAGTTCTCCCAGAAGAGCTGGAAGAGGCGGCTGTGGAAAGAGATGTCTGAACTTCCCTCAGTATGCTGCTCCCGTGACTGACTCTGGAACTAGTGGCAGATAATACTTTGTAGATGGAATTAGTAAAAGCTGTCTATCTAAGGAATCCTGCAGATTGCATCAAAACTTTGTCTTGTCATAATCCTCCATCCTGAGCAGCCTGTTGGTGACAGTAGAAAGGAATGACTTCTTTTTAACAGAAATAAATATCCATCTGAACCAGGCTCAGGATGGGCAGCCATCTGCCTTAACCAGCTGGGGTTTTGCAAGAAAGAGACAGCTGAGAAGGATCGTTCCAAGCGTAGTTTCTATGGGAGGATAACAGAAAACACGCTAGCAAACCAAAGCTAGCCTTTCCAAAATTTCTTTGTCTTAATTGTTGAAATAACAGCTCAAGTTACGCCTGGGATGCAATATCTTGTCATGTCTTCTTTTTATTTTTATTACAAAATTAAATACATATTCTTGAGCAATGGAACCCACAAAAAAATGAACTAGAGCAGAAAAAAAAATTTGGAACTCAATTTGACAGGTCCACCAGGATCCTGACACAGTCACTGACTGAACATAAACCTACCCAGGAGGTGTTAACTGACTTTTTGTTTGCTGAGATTATTTAGATGGAACATAAGAAGAAAAAAGTAAAACCTTATTGTTATTTTTGTAAAGCAAGCATTGCTTTTTTAACCCTCTGATTTTTCCAATCAAAACCCAGTTTTGATGGCTATCTGAGATAAGTGTCATGATGGAACAACATATTTTGCCCAAGTCTCAACCATCTAGTTGTTGATTTGAGATGAAGTTGAAGAATTTGGAGGTAGTTCTCCATCTTTGTTATTCCATCCAACTTTGAGCTCCAGTACCACAGCATGGTGTTGCCACCACCATGCCTGACAGTTGGTACAGTGTTCAATTCAATTCAGTTTTTTGATATAGCGCCAAGTCACAACAGAAGTCATCTCAGGGCACTGAACAGAAACATTCATTTACATAAAAAATAAGTTAACATTATTTATCTGAGGAGCAGACTGCGTCACAGAACTCTCAGCAAGCACGAAGGCAACAGTGGAAAGGAAAAACTCCCTCATGAGGAAGAAACCTTTAGCAGAACCAGGCTCAGGAAAAGCAGCCATCTGCTTCGACCAGCTGGGTTTGAGAGGAACAGGAAGGAGGAACAGATACACTCATTCAACCTTTATTTAGACAGGTTAATCCCATTGAGCCTCAGGGACTCTTTTACAAGAGAGACCTGATTTCTTAACAAAGAATGATGACAACAGTGGATAACAACGACAACAATAAACAGTCACAAAAGAGGCATACAAATTTAAATTTTTTTTTTTTTTTTTACAAATCAAAGCAAAATAGCAACCAAAAGGACAGTCAAAAGGAAAAGTAGCACAAAACAAAACAGCTAGATTGTAAAGTGGTGTAGAAAACTAAAACAGGAACATGTTGGTTTTTCCCAGGAATTTAGCAGATGTTTGAAGCCACTTAGAGAGGTCAAGGTCGAGAGCTTCAGATCTTTTTGCAAGATATTCCAGGAAACAGGAGCGGAGTAAGAGAAGTCCCTTTTGCCTAGTTCAGTCTTCACTGAGGGAACACTGCAGGTAATAATGTCCTGAGAGCGCACGCTGTAGCTGCACTCACGCAGAGATGGCAGGTCGAGAATCACATGGTGAGATAGAAATAGTATCAAATGACAACTATTCAATTGCAACAATTAATTTTAAGAAATGTGGTCAATTTGTCCTCCAGTAGTGTAAGCCTAGAGCAGCATAATAAGCTAACCTTAACTATAGGATTTATCAAAAAGGAAAGTCTTAATCCCAGTCTTAAACTGGACAATGTGTCAGCCTCATGGACAGAAACTGGAAGTTGGTTCCACAAGAGAGGAGCCTGATAACTGAAAGATCTTCCTCCCATTCTGCTTTTGGAACCTCTAAGAACCTCAAGTAAGCCTGCAGTCTGAGAGTGAAGTGCTCTGTTAGGAAAATAATAAGATCGCAAGTACAGTATAAGATGGAGCTAGGTTGTTGAGGGCTTTGTAGGTTAGAAGTAAGATTTTGAATTCAATTCTGAATTTGACAGGGAGCCACTGTTCTTAGGTTTGACAGCCTCACCTTAACTTCTCTAAATGTACAACCACTAAAAACCAATAGGAATACAATGGTTTTTGAAGTCCATTCATTGCCCTGGTAACCAGTGTATGAAAGGAGCTGCGTATTCTGCTGTTGTACCGACATGACCTAAGAACCTACTTGCACTACGTTTCATAATTTTAAGTAGTTTGGTTGATGCATGACTTTCTTCTGTAACTGCTTCCAGGCTGGAGAAACAGCTGAAGAGTCATCAGACAGCGATGGGGAGCAAGAAGAAACATCAAACAAGTTGATTCGCAAAGTGTCGACCTCGGGTCAGATGAGAGCCAAGGTAAGAAAACACGGAGTGATTGTGTCTTTGTAGGATTTTATTATTATTATTATTTTTTTTTTTTACCAGGGTTTATGTGTATCAAGGAGCCTTGGAAAAAATGTTATTGTGATTACATTGGGCATTAGGGAGTGTCAACAGAGAGTCCGATGTTATTTTTTTTTTTACGTTTTCATGTAATTTAGGCTTTTAATAAAATGTTTAATTTAGAGAGCCTTTCTGAACAGTATCGTTGCTGAAACCTGACTTTTCTGAGTTTGTCTGAATTTCTGAGTTACAATTCAGAGAAGGCTTTTAATGGAAGAATAACTGTAAAAAAAATAAAAAGTTGTATGTTATTTGTTCATTGTGTCGACGCTAAGAGTACTGAGTAAAATCTTGAGCTGTTAGTTATTTAACAACTAATATAGAACGGAAACGTTTCACTAAAAGACGGATGCATTGACGACGTCATTTGAATGAACTTCGAGGGACATATAAGGCCCAACACATGGGAGTAGTTTCCAAGAGGTCTCCAGGTGGGACTTTTTTCCCTTTTGTTTTTATTTTAGCTTCACTTTATCAATGTTTAGATCAGAGTTCTGACAGTATCTGAACTGTTGTCTGCCGAGGACAGCTGACACCTGATCTGCTTCCTGGCAGCGTCATTTCTCTCTCTTACCGTCATCGTAATGAGTTGTCTTCCAATCTCTGATGGAGGATGTGATCACGCACTAACATTTTTCTTTCTTACTGGCCTCTGGACTCCGGTATTGATCGCTTCATATTAGGCTCTTACTGGCACACAAACATACACATGCAATATATCTTTGTCAGATGGGCTGACTGGATTTATGTTTGGTCAACAACATGCGTGTCGTGAGTTTATGTATCGTAGACTTTTTGTATTTTGTTTAAAACCTAAATTCGACATATTTACATCCAACAAACTATTTTAATACATAAAGTAACACGTGCCTCAGTTTTTCTACTGTAGATTCTTCCTTATTGTGTTTGTAATATTTCAGTATAAACACACCTGATAAATGTTGACTAATGAAATGTTATTTGCTTTTATAAATATTTCTCGGGCTCTAAAACTGGGAATCCTTTAGGGCTTCATCACCGTTTGTTGTGGACTAAAAAAGGTTTATTACACAGCTTATCAACTGTTTTGTGTTTAATTAGGAGATGAAAATCATGACCTCACAAGTCCCAAAGTTGTCTTGGCTCGAGCATTAAAACAAACATTTATATCCTTAAAATGTAGGTCAGTGGAAAGGTTATGACCAATTAATATCTTACCTGTTGAAGAAGGATTTCAGTTTGGAAAAATAATTATATTCTGACCTGACCATTGAGCTAACAGATGGTCCAAGCGAGGCCAAGACCAAAGTGGATTGCTGCCATCTTAAAGCAACTATAACTTTAAAACAAACATACCAAATCAAGCAGATGCTATTTCATAAATGTTTTACACTGTCAACAGTTTTGCCTCGTGAAAGTATTCTGCCCTTTTGTGGATCAAAGAAGGCCTCTGTCCGTATTTGTTGTGAGCTTGATAACTAGTAACGTAAGTGGGGGTCCGACTTCCATTTTGGTATCTGGCTACATCTACATTAAAGAAAAGTCCTTGTTAAATATTGTGTTGACACGTCATAATCCTAAATAGCTTCATCCACATATACCGTATTTTTCGGCGTATAAGTCGCATCAGTCAAAAAAAGCATCACGAAGAGGGAAAAACGTATAAGTCGTATTTCTTATGCGTCACCGCTGACTCGTCACATTTATTATGCATTTATTTAATGGCCAAAACAGTTTCATTTTGCCTGGGCAACACCATCCATCCATCCATCCATCCATCCATCCATCGCGGCCGGATCCGCTAGCTCGCCAGCGTTCTTCCACCTGCACCAGCTGAGTGAAGTGATCACTCATAATTAAGCATTCATAATTGCATAATGAATATGGGGGAAAAGTATAAAAGTCGCTTCGGCATATAAGTCGCAGGACTGACAAGTCTATGCAAAAAAACTGCGACTTATACGCCGGAAAATACGGTATAGTAATTGATTTAGTTATGATTATTGTAAACTACTACTAAAACTCTAAAATGTCAGGGTCATTCGGGGGTTTAGGGGTGGTGGGGGTGCATTATCTCATTGGCAAAATTAAAGATAAGTGTGTGTTAAAGTTATTATTAGTTAACTGCACTTACCGTCAGCCGTAAAACAAAGCCCATTCAATAGGAGACGAGGAATACCCGGCAACCCTCGTCTCCATGGAGACGACATCCCATAAAGCCTTGTTTGCTCTCAGGAAATATTAGCATCTGATATCAGTCTAGTATTGATCCGAAAAGTTTACTGGACACCAACAAAGGGGGGCGGGGCTATGAACAGCACCGTGTCGCCATGGTGATAAGTTTGAACGCTTTCAGTTTTAGTAATTTCTAATTGCTCATGGCTACAGTTTCTTTTGTAGGGACTCCAAAACGTCACTAAATGGTGAAGGAAAATGTACACCCCAATAGAAATCCTAACTTTTAAAGTAAAATCACAAAATGTATCTGAAGTCTTGGTTTAACAGTCTGTCGTACCACTTTTAGCATTAAATGTATGATAGTTCCCTTCACACATGTCACACACAGACTAGTGATCAACGTGAGGCTTAGGTTTGTGACAATAACTTGATCTGATTCGTGCGTTTGTGTCCTTTTCTTTGAGCACGGTGTGTGCATGTTTAGATTAGTGTGTGTGAGCTGTTTATTGCCAAGCAGCATCAGTCTCTCTTTTGTGTAATTTGCCTCGGCTCATTTTGTCCCCTGCCTGTTCCCGTCCCTGTTAGAGCTGAGGTCTGTTAGCACACTGTGAAGAAGGTGCTACTCCTTATTAACTGTGACATGGCATTATGGCATCATTAGATTAATTCACTTCCTTAGTCATGACGCCCCAAATAATTATACAGCTGGTGTGATAGTCCTCAGATAACGACGCGTGTCATCCCCATTTCACTCTGTTGGTGTAATTAAATATGGTGGAGTTTATAGAAGAGCTGTTTTTTTTTTTTATCAGTGGCATCACTTGAGCTAGTTGTATTTGTCTTGAGTTATTCCCTACAAAACAAATTAAATACATATTTTGATGTAGTTTTTTGAGTATAAAGGCCACCTTTTTATACATCTGCAATCAAAACCATAAAGATTTCCTTATTGGACCCCTGTGTGTAACTCATCCCTCTAGTGTCTAAAGGTTCAGTTGCCTCAAGTGTTTTAACTTCAATCTTACATAAGCTTTATTAAATCGTTTTTGTGCAATACAGTAATGTGATTATCATCTCAATATCAATGGGTGTAGTTGAAATTTCACAAAAGATTGTAATAAATAAACCTGAAACACAAACCCCACAGCCCTAAATGCCTTTAGTTGATTTAAAAGAAAGGGAATGAAATGTTAAAACACTTTTGTAAAGGTTGTAATGACAGAAATAAAAATAGGAGCGAGGAGTAGAAAATGTGGGTTTTTCTCAACTGATATTGTTTTTGTGATTTCCCAAAATAACATTGAATATTAATATTTTTCTATTACTGTGCATTTCTAGTTTTAACCTCATTTACAAGAAGAAAATGTTAAAGACAAGTCCTCATAAGGTAATTAAATATGTAGAGTATATGTTAAATAAATTTAGGTGGGGGAGTGGTGGCGCAGAGGTGGGCCTGTTATTGGAAGGTTGTAGGCTTGATTCCTCGGACCGACAACATCAAAAGTGGCTTCCACACCTGTCAGTTGCCACATTTGCCCCACTCTGGGCCCTTGAGCAAGGCCCTTAACCCCCACCATCTGCTCCCATGGGTGCCCCAGATGGCAGCTCTCTGCTCCACACCAAGGGCTGTGGTAGCTCAGTGGTCTGTGGTTGCGTCAGGAAGGGCATCCGTCGTAAAAACAATTGCCAAGTCTTCGTGTGAGTTAGTTCCCCTCGGTGATTCCTGAAGAAGGGAGCAGCCGAAAGAAGAAGACAAAAAAAAAAAATCAAGTATTAAAATTGAAAAAAATACTGTCGGGCAGAAAACTTGTGTCTTCGAAAATGCAACTTTAAAGTAAACTGCAGTGTCACAAGCTCTTTTAAAACTCTTTTCATTGGATAATAACAATAATAATACATACACCCATAGACTGATATAAAGGGGTCCACAAGAGTAAACTAGTGGTGACTGCCACACTGGGGACATTTAAAATATTGTTTTGACAGCATTTGTAGATTTGAACTCAGAATGTGTTGTTCATCACTGTCAGGTACCACCACCACACCGAATTTCAGCTCAGTTTGTTTAAAAATAGCTGAGTTACCATATTTTTTTTCCCTTTTAACTTAGGTGGCCATCTTGGATTTTTAATTTGCAAAAAAACCCCAAAGCATTTTAGCACTCTCAGTGTTCACGTCATCACATTTACTACAGTTTACAGGTATTTTATGACAGTCAATTTGTGAACATTGCACTCACAAGCTTGAATGTCACGAGAGTTGGTTTATGCAACAGCAGTATCTGCATGTTATTTCATCTGCAGCACATCATGCAGGACTAAATCTTATCTCAGCTGGACATCTTTGCTACTATTTGCAGACAACGAATGAGTAATCAGTTCATGAGGAATCATGATGAGTAATCAGGTAATAAAGTAATTACTTGTGTGCATGGTTTTGTTTATCTGTCTGTTGGAAAAACATTTCAGGAATTTCTCGACAGATTTTAATGACATTTTCAGAAACAATCACTGGATGTACAACTAACTTTGGAGTTAATCCTATTCTAGATGACTGCCCCGACTAACTAATCTTATAAAATACAAAAAGAACCAAAAGACAACTTTGCAGATTCCTTGTTTCCTTCAGCTGCTCCCACCTGTAAGGGATGCCACATTAGGGAAGTTGTAATAAAGATTAGGCAAGTTCTTTACACTGGATGCCCTTCCTGATGCAACCTGGGCTCAAACCTACAGCCTCAGGATTACAGGACGGTG